GTACGCATGCATAAAGGCGTACAAACATTTTTATATATATATATATATATATACATGGTGGTATACATGTGTACATACAGACTTACATATATACATACATACATATATACTTACGCACATACAGACATAAAAACATCATATATGAATACATCCGTACATACATGCATACATTTATACGTATGCACATACATAAAATACGATATATCTCGTACGAGTTATGGATCGTGTACCTTGGGTTTAAGCTGTGAGTTCTGTCTCATTCTTTCCTTGGTTTCCTGCAATAATCGTGCCCTCTGTGACTGCTGCTCGGCGAGACGACTCTTCACCAGCTCCAGCTTTTCTTTCTCTGTCATTAGAGCGGGGTTTTTAAGCTCGTTTGGAGCCAGTGCACCCATTTGTTGATTGGGATTTAAGCTGAGATCTGCCTCATTTGTGCTATATCCCTGACTCGATATGCTAGCCTGACGAGACGTATTGAGTCCACTATTGAATGATGAATTCGAGGTCACATTTACCTGCCTCTGTGAATACCTTTGTGAGCTCTCTTCCACTATTTGGCATCGCTGCTGTGTGTGTTGTAGTTGCGACTGTGCTTGTGCAGGCGCTGATTGTCCGAGCTGTTGCAATGCCATGTTATATACATACACTTGCTGTTGCTGCGGATTCATACTCGCCCATTGTTGTGGATAGTTGGTTTGAAAGTGAAGCGCCAGTTGGCCCATGACAGCCTGAATCTGTTGCTGGCTCATAATGATAGAGTTCCCTCTGTCCCATGACAGCTGAACCTTGAGTGGTTTTAGTTGGAAGACGAGGTGGTAGCAAGTCCGAAGTCACGAAGTCAAAAATTATGATGTCTAAAGCGAGCGTAGATAGCAAATGGTTGTCGTAGTAAATAAATATTTATTCGAACTTGTTTTTACATCAACAACACAATATAGTATATGGCATAGCCTTCTAAATTTACAAAGAAGAAGGTCATGTATGTACGTGTAAATAATATATATTTTATAAAAAAATACAAAACTAAAATGTTCTATTATTTAGGAGTGTGTTAAATTTAGGAGTCTGTATTTTAGAAGGCTATGATAGGAGGCTTTGAAAAATAAGCTATGTACATAAATATTTACATATTTATTTCTCAATTTTTCCCCCTGTAAAAAAAAAAGTCCTATCAAAGCGACATAGCCGTATGACAAATTTTTTTTTAATGTTCAAAATTTTGGCCACATATTTATTTTTGGATTTCACCATTCATATGTACAACACAAAACTCGAAAGTCATACAGAAAAGCATCATGTCGGACAAGGTGCAGGATTTGCCTTGTGAGGAGCATCCGCATATACTGATATGTCTTACCGGTAGTGTTGCCACTGTAAAAGCAGAGAAGATAGTACAAGCTTTGATTGATCACCCCAGCATTAAAATTGTACGTAAGGAAGTGCAACAATTATCTTAAGAGTTTGGCTCATAGCTATAACGGGAGAAGAAACTATCAACTATCATGTTTCGAGGTCCACCGCTCCCTAAAAGTGACTGTGCTTTAAAGTCGACCAGTTACAATCAAGTATAGTTTTCGTTGCAACACCATGGTTTATAGTATGACGTTCAAATTAAATATTTTACAGTATAACTTGCATTTACCACATCTATTCCAGTATGACGGGTCAAAGAGCTTGCTCTAATCAATAGGCGCTCTAGTATATTGAACCAAGCAAAAGGTTAATGCACTTTAGTTCAAATATTTCATATCCTCAAGGTCTGATTCATTGTCAACCTTCACCAACTCATCGGTTCAAAACAGACGTCACAGATATGCATCTTGACAACCAATTCTGCTACGCACTTCTTCGACAAAGAGCGCATACCCGTGAAGATATTTACCGACGCTGACGAATGGGCGGTATGTTGTATAGCTTATGCGTTTAAACTGAGGCTCGCTGATGTGATATTAGAGTAAGCGACTGAATATTTATGTGTCCATGTAGATACATATACTAAATATCTATACCTATATACTAAATACACACACCCATATATATATATTTCTATATTTATATATTTCATATTTCTATGTTTCTATATTTCTATAATATATATATATATATATATATATGTATGTATATATGTATGTATATTGTTTT